AACATTAGAGGATCTTGCGATAGTTTGTTTATTTGTACAAAAAAAAGCTTCCACCGAACGCATTTTGGGTTCATGAATTAATTGCACTCATTTGCAATCATATAGATTGAGGTGAAAGTAGCCAACCAAATCATGGAATGCCTCATTAAAATCGCACTTTTATGCGTTTTAAAATGCGACTATGGTTGCAACCAGTCACCTCTTCTCTTACTTAATTATATTTTTGCTCTATTTCGTAAAGTATGGATCTTGCTCTGACGATGTCTGTTTCGGTACAGGCGAAAGCTTAGTACCGATTTGCTGAGCAACAGTCTTCCCTACGCGACAATCTTGTTTCGGATCAGGTGAGACCATTTCACGAATTCTTCCCAATCAACCTTTCCTTAGAACCGAAAAGTCTTGTCACAATATGTCCTACACATTCCACTGTGGGAAAACCAGTGCTTGCCTGACCTTAAGCGACCTAGAGTGAGTGGATTGTGTATTCAAGTTATGCAAATATGTAATGGGAAAGGAAAAGTCTTCTTAGCATTGATACAGTCATGGGATCGAAACAGAAGCCAGCAGTTAGGATAATTGTAATTGCCTTGATCCATCTTGAAGCAAATTCATCTCGTGTAAAGTTTGGCGAACTTTTTGTGTTAACTTAGATTTGGATTTGGCACCCTTTAAGGAAACAAGATTGAGGGAAATTCAATGGTATCGCGGGAAAATGACCTCTTCTTCACTCCTCCAATCACCTGACCGAGTCAATAGTGACGGAGGCTCTGCATCAAAACTAATTTTCTTCACCAGATGCAGCCTTGCTCGGTTAACACTACAACTTTTAATTGGATTATAAACCGTACCATGCAGGTGGATTTCTGATACTTTAGCTGTGGTCTTGGTTCAGAAACACATTATCAGCCCATTGAGAGTTGAGCAATGCATAAAGCTACATGAAAGATTTGATGCGAAAATATTTCTGCCGGCAAGGCGAAGTCTGTTTTTATTTTAAAAAGTAAAACTATCTTTTCGCCTTCTATTAAAGAGCTCAACAACCACTAACCGAAACCCCAAAACTGACAAAGGTGATCAACGTTAAAATAAATATCTACAAATGATTCAATGTGTTACGAATTTCCTCTTCGCAATTTGCCAACAACATCGCCATTCCTTCCAAAGTTCTACAATACAACCTTCTTAGTTCC